AAATTTGTAAATATACTATTCCTTTAAGAATTTCTAATCGAAAAGTTGTTGAAGATTTTTTGAAAAATTCTTTAAAAGTAAAATATTATTTAGAAGAAGTGTTTAATAAACTTGTTGAAATTAGGAATAGAATTGATTATTTATCTAATAGAATAGAAAATGAAAGACCAGGATCAAGCATGTCATTATCTACAACATATTAATAAAAATTTTAACAAATATTTAAGTTATGTAAATTTTTTTATTTATTAATTAATATATATTATTAAGAAAAAATAAATTTATTATTAAATTTTTTCTCTATCAAGAATATAAAATAAATTTTCTATTTTAAAAAATCCTACACATCGATCTATACCAATAACCTCAATAAATTGGAAACCATTAAATTTATTAAAATATATTTGCCCATAATTATCTTCCTTATATTTATCTATTTTTCGAATATAAGCAAACATACGACTTGATCCATTATATTCATTTATAATAAAATATTCTATTTCACCAAATATTTCTTCTATAACAAGTCTTTGAGATGCATTTACACGATATGCATCCATATCAATTGTAATATTAATCTAAAATATAATAAATTAGTATTAATTTTATAAATAAAATCAAATTTAATTTTAATAATTTACTTACTGCAACCGAATAATTATTTCTATTTTTTATTTTATCTTTTGATATCCATTTAGAACTAATAATATGTCCATCTTTATTACGTAATTTACCATATTTTATTACACTTGAAGATATCTACAAATATACATCATTATATTATTATTATATTAATCATTTAACAAAATATTATTAAATAAAAAATATTACTTCAATTTGATTTATATTTAAATCATATATAGCAGAATAAGCTTCTTTTAATTTTTTTAATTCTGTTGAAGTTAAAACATATTTTTTTGATGGTGAATAAAATTCATATTCTTCATATAAAGAAGAAGTATAAACTCTATGAGATGGCCATTCTTTTTCTTTTTCATCAGGAAAAATATATTTATAAAATTTTGTTTTATATTTTAAATGATTAAATCGTTCATTTAAAATAAGATTATTCCAAAGATTTGCATAAGGATGTATTTGTGATTTAACTAATGGAATTAACATTCCACACATCCTTTCCATTGGAAATTGCCAATATCCTCTACAAGGACCAAAATCTTCAATACATTCAACCATATGTAATAAGTAATGAAAAGTTATTAAAAATATATTTGATCGATCTTCTTGATCAATCTTTGCATAATCATTATAATATATATATATATAAATAAAAATGATTTATAAATTTTATAATAAGTAATATATTTATATACTTACTTTGAAATATGATTATAAAAATTCTTAAATTTTTTTTCAATAATTGTAATATCTTCTTTTTTTAAATTTGTTTGCATACATAAATGAACAGCTGTAACAAATTCATTCCATCCTTTAATATATCTATAAATTTATTTTATGATTTTAGAATTTAAATTTAGAATAATTAAAATATTTATTATAAATATAATTTTATACCTATCGGGTAATTTAGATTTTAACAAAGGTACTGAAAATAAAGTAATCCAATTTGCCCATTCTTCTGCCTTATATCCAGCATTATGTTTAAATATATTTCTTGGTGGTCTTCCAAAATCTAATGGCATATTTTTTCTATTATTTTGCATTAATATACCAATTTCTTCCCATAAAGATTTTGTTAAGATAAAAGGTATAGAAATATTTTGATCATCTTTGAAAAATCGACCAGTCCATAATTTAAACATATGAGGTGCAATATTTTCAAAAAATAGATGCATTATATCTATTGGAAAAGATCTAGGAAATTTAATTGAAGATAATTCAAATAAAATACTTTTACCTTTAATACCTATAAAGAAAATAAATAATTTAATTATAAAATTATAAAATAAAAGTTGTAATTAAAATTTTATTTATATTTACCATATTTCTTAATTAATTTTTCTTTATCTTTAAAAGTTAATGCAACTTCTATTTCATTAATATATGATAGCCAATTTGTATGATTTTTTTTAATATAATTGGTTTTAAAATTAGTAGGAAAATAAATATGTTTATACTTTTGTGAGTAAGTTCCTTGAATCTCACAAAATCTACAACCTGAATATGAATTATGTCCTGTAATATTCATAACTTTTGTAATAGCTGGAATATCACCAGTCTATGCAAGAATATATGCATGTAATATAAATTCACTTTCAGTATATGCATCATAACATATTATACCATCTAAATATAAAAATATTTTTAATAAAAATAATAAAATACTTAATTATAAATAAATATAGTAAATTACTTACTTTCTAATTCTTTCATTTCATCAATAAATGGTCGTAAAA